ATGCTGATGCACACAACTGATCTGATAGCTCCCCGCTGGAGACAAATCACAGCACCATTTGCAGCAAGCCTTACTCAGGTCAAAAGCACAATGCAGTTTCAAAACACTTTATGAGAGGGACAGATTAATCATTTTTATCCACTGATTGCACTTAAGTAAATTAAAGCTAAAGATAAGATAAATAAGAGCTAAGACAAATAAGAAGCCAAACCAAAGCAATCTATCACTAGAGAAGCGGTACAGACAAATACACACATCACCACAGCCATCACATGAACTAGCTGAAAAGGTGAGTGAAGTTCTTCCAAAACACTGGGCAATTTAAAGTGCCAATCTGAGACACATTTGTGTTTCAGCTTGTGGTCCAAGGGCTCCTTATGGCAGCCTGCTGCCCGCTACCATGGCACAGGCTGCTAAGAGATGCTCGTGAAATCAACCAGTCATCACTGAAGTCCTTTAATATCTTTGCACCTTTTCCAGAAAACTTTGGGGAACTGAAGCAAGGTGAAAAACTTTTCTCTCCTAAAGAGTCTGGATTTTTTAAAGGCTTCTGTTCTAAGACACCCCTTATAGCACTCGAAGTGAAACCCAGCATTGGCTGCACGTACCGTACTCCAGCAGATGAGGTGGTTTGTTTCAGGATCTTCCACCAGCGTCCAGAGCTTGGTTAGGAAGGCTGGCACATTGCTGGAGTAGCCATCCATCACCAGGGAGCTGGGTGAATCCTGCATAGCTTTCCAGTGTCCCGGCTACACCGACCCCATCGCTGTCAGCGCGCCAGCCTCCCTGCACGTGCGTGTGTCCGACAGAGAATGAACCACTGAATTTTATCCCGGGCCAGTAGAAAGCAGGCTCCTGGGAGTCACATCAGCAGTGCCGCTCTGCCTCGTAAAAACTCAGCACAATGCAATGGCATCACCAGCCCCAGAGAACAATACACAGAATGAAAATGCACCGCAGCCGATCTCGCAGAGCTGTGAATAAATACGCAGCGTCATGCAGAGGGAACACGTGCTGTGCACCTTGCACCGGGAGGTCAGCAAGGCTGCGGGCTGAATCCACCCGCTGGGAGCCTGCGGGACGCCCCGGCGCTGCCAGCGCCTCTGTCTGAGCGCTCACGTAGTTTTATTTTGGAATTCTCTTGCCCCAAAGCTGGCCGTTGGAGGTGAGCACAGCCTGGCCAAGAGCCCAGAGCTGCACGTCTTCATCAAGGGTTTGAAAAGGCAGAACTGTAAGTTGGCTTGGCTACGGGTCTCATCCGCCAGGACAGCTGGTCTGGCTCTTGGCTGACAAAGTGGCGGATGAAAACAGCTACATGTGTAACTGTGAGAAAACATGCTTTATTGTTATCACTCAAAATCCTTTAGATTGCTCTAAATATTTGCTTGCAAAGGGAGCTTTATGTCAGGACCATTTAAAATCCGAATCTACTCTTCAAATCACAGCTCATCAGAATCCTTGGCACAACCACACAACACACTCATCCTAACTCAGAGGCAGATACCTTTGCCATTTGCTGCTGACTGAGACAGGAAAAATTGTAAACACTGTTGATTCTCCTAAGAAACATTAACAATGCAGTGAAAGCATAGGTCTTTGCCAAAGGCATTCAAATACCTGAAAATGTGCATTTCTGAGAAAGAAAGGACAGAGAAGGATACTTGCAGGCTTTGTGTCTTTCTTCTGACCTTACCAGTGCTCTTTCTTAAGTGCTTTTCGTCCTGCTTACATTTTCTAACATAACTCAGCTCCTGTTTAAACCATTACAAAGTGGAGGTTACCTGATAGCTAGATACCAGGAGAGCTCATCATCACAGAAATTGCCAGATGAGAAATATCAAGTTTGGAGGGCATTTTCCATCAGATGACCACTGCCTGTCACTATAGGTGAACCCATGTGGCTAAGGACCTCAATAGACACAGAACACCTGCACTGAAGCTGTTGTTTCTTTAAGTGTCTGCCTAAATAGTTGCTGGGTGCCTGACACGGTGTGCTTGACTTTGAGATATGCTTAAAACATAACATAAAAATTAAATTTCAGTGTGATTTCCTGTAAAACTTCACAAAGGGTGAACACGGCATTCCCACTATTGCTAAATAGAGAAAACAACGAAGAGAAAAGACTTGTCCTCCCCACTCCATTAAAAAAAAATTAGAAATAGGTAATTCAATTTCTTTGTATGGCCATTGACCAATCACATTTGAGAACAAATGCTTCATCTGCTGAACAGGTGATCCGGTCACCGAACTGCCATTGGTTTCCAGGGGTGCCGTTCCTTGGTGACCTTGAGAGTGTATTGCTTCAGACAGGGGCAGTGCGTGAGGAACGCTTCCACCACCTCCTTGCTGACCACACAGTAGCAGTGGATCTCCATCAGCTTCTGGCAGTGCCTCGCCAGCTCTACTAGTGAGGAATTCAAGTCCTCCGAGGATGTGGTTTGGAGCGTCAGCTTCTTCAGAGTACTGCTGTAGCTCTGGGTGACAAACCTGATCTGATCTACCATGTAATTGTAGGTGTTCAGTTGCAGCGTGCTCACAGGTATGTTCTGCTTTAGGATCCGTGGTATCGTGCAGCCAGGGACCGTATGATCGAATTCAAGGTCTACACAGAGTCGAGGATGTTTTTGCCTGACAGCAGCCCACAGCTCTTCTGAGATGACTGGTATATATTTGTCCAGGCGCTCACAGAAAATGTCTAAGTGGGTGAAAGCTGCTCTTTCTGGCTTGAGCAGCTCCAGAAATACATCATCGGACAGGCTGGCATAGTAGACCCCCAAGGCTGAGAGTTTGGGACACACACTGAGAACTTTCCTAACAGTGTTCGGTGCCACATTGCACACCAGGGTACGGTTGTTGATGAACAAACTTTGCAAGTTTGGGTTGGTGGCAGCTAGGAGTTCAACAAGCTCCCCATCGAGAGTAAAGGGCATATTTCGAAAATCAACATGCTGAAGATCTATCTGGGTGTTAGTGTTGCACATATTCCGTATGCTCCGCAGGATGTCCTGGCCAGAGTAGAAATAGGGGTTCTCCCCATGGCATGCAATGCACAGCTGCTGCAGCTTGTGGTTCTGCTTTGCCAGCACATCCAAGATGCGCGTCACGTTCCTGCGGTTGACCTCTTTGGATTGGTCAAATCTAATCTTCAGGTGTTTGATTTGGCTGAGGAACTGGCACAGGCTCTGCAGCATGCCCTCCTCATCCTCTGAATCACAGCTGGAAGGGTAAAACAAAAGGTCAGTCACTGCGGAAGGTAAACCGAGCAAACACAGAGCAGATTCTCTCCTTTACTGTGTTCTGGCAAACACCAACAGATGACACACATTTCTCCTCACTAGATGCCTGTAAGGCCAAACTCTGACCAAGTGAGGGGGAGAGAGGAGTCGGCCTCCAGAAAGACCACTGGGGAGGTAAGTGCCACCATGAGGAGGACAACCCAATAACTTTGTCTCTTGGTGATACAAGGAGCAACTTGAAGGGACTTACCTGAGAATGTAATACTTCCCGTGGCACCCAAATCATCAGCAGTTAACATAAAAGCCCACACTGCATAACACCATTTTCTCTGTTACATAAAGAAATGCTAGTCACGAAATGTAGCCACACACACAAATCACAGCTAAGAGCAATTAGCTGTCACAGCACAGCGCTGCACATCTTCAACACGCTCTGATACGTGATGCTCTTGTTACACCTGCAGAGATGCTCACGCTTCAGAAACCCATTCCTCATACCTGATCTCTGTGAAATGCCAAACGGAGCTGGAAGAAACAGCCCCAGCCCAATGCTTGCACACCTGGAAGGCTGTGTATCTATCTCGAAGAGAAAGGTAATAGAAAATTTGGATGAGGATTTCCTCTGGGATGCAGCTCCACGGGTCAGAGGCTGGAGCAAACATGCTGCTGATTCAGTTGGGTTCAAAAATTGGGGAAACTTCCAAAACTGCAGGGAATTTTCAATCAACCCTGTTTTTAAAAAAAAAAAAAAGGAAAGAAAGAAAAAAGGAGATATTTAGCATTTACATACAAAGTCAAACCAACGCAACTGGGTCACAAAGGGGGTCAGCACTATTTTCAACTTGAAACTTCACCACATTTTGAAATTCAGCACAAAAATAGAGGAAATCCACTGGCCGAATGTTTGCACACTATTTCCAACCAAGCCTAGAAGCTGGGAAATACTCTTCAAGTATTAAAGATGTCAGATCGAGGCTTTGGGGGAAAAAAGTGCATTTTCCTGCAGCAAGGGCTTTGCTACTGTAAGTAATAAAAATGCAAGAGAATTTTCTAGTGCTGCTGCACCGGTATGCAAAAAGCTGAGATAGATTTCTCAAACTGAGTGGAAAAAAACCTCTTTGCAAGCAGAAGCTCTACACAGAAAACAGCCCCACACATCCATTTTTGTACCGACTGTGAAACAAAAGGCCCACAGCAGAATGGGGCAGCTTTATTGCAGTGACCCTTGCCTGTAAGAAGACGTGGCGGCCTGACAGAAATGTTTTATTACTCTTAATCCACTCATTATAAGCCCCATTTACACAAGTCTGACTTAGAAGCGGGAAAGCACATTTTGCTTGACCTTCTGTGTGAGTTATGAGCACTGGGACAAAGGCTGAGATTGATAAGCTCTGAATGGAAAGGTATTTTTCATCCACTTTTCTAGATTTATTTTGCATAGATTAAAACCACCGCATAAAATCACCGACACGAGACAGCTTCTCAATCCCTATCGCGAGATTTTTAAACGGCAGAGCCGCGCAGCCTTGCAAGCATCCCCGTTCCTGGGACAGCACTGGGGACGGCCGCGTCCCAGACAGGGGACAGCCTCCGGGCCACGGAGCCAAAGCAATGCTTCACTCCCGCGGCTTCTGCCCGATGCCGGAGCGCTGCGACGCAAAACAGCACAGCTCAAAGCGGAGCAGAAGGACGCGTTTTTTTTCCAAGAATCCGCCGCTTTGAAGCGTGACTCATTGCCTTTCAGCGTGCGACGCGGCAGCGCAGCATGTCTGCCACCCTCGCAGTGACAGCAGCTCTTCCCCATCCCCTCCCCCAACGAGGAACTCAGCCCCGCTTCCTTCCTGGGAGCCCGCTGGTTGTTGTCGCTGTTTCCTCTGCCGACGAAGCCCTCACCCCTATCCGCGCTCCATCCGCCCGCCCCGAGCGGCTCGCACCGGGGCTCGAGGCGGCCGAGCGCGGCGCACCGCCCGCAACGCAACCAGGGCTCCCCGCTCACTCCCTGCGGGCGGCGCCTCCCTGCGTCCGTCGCAGCCGCGCAGAGGCGGAAGCGGCGGCGCCGAGGCCGGGCGGCGGCGGCGGCGGCGGTGGCGGCGGGAGGTAAGGGCCGCCCCGAGGCGCCGGGGTAGCGGGGGGGGAGGGCGGGAGGGGCGGACGCCGGTGGCGAGCCGGTGGGTTTGTGGGGGGGGCAGCGGTTCAGCAGACTCTGTTGTGATAGGACAGGGGAAATGGCCGCAGACTAAAAGAGGGGGGATTCGGATAAGAGGGGAGATTCGGATCAGAGCTAAGGAAGAAGTTGTTCGCACTCAGGGCGGTGAGGCACAGACTGCACACAGAGCTGGTGCTGCCCCCCATCCCTACAGACAGCCAAGGTCGATGGAGCTGTGGGTGTCCCTGCTCGGTGTGAGCAGATGGCCTTCAGGGTCCCTTCCCACTCAAACCATCCTATGATTGTATTAGCTGGCCAGCGAGGCACAGTGAGAATGGAGAGATGGACGCGCTGTCCTATAAAGGAATCATAAAAGAGCTAGGACCTAAAGTGAAGAGTTATCCCCAAGAGCAAACCAGTGCAGAGCCAAGAGTCCTACACGCCCATTGAATCACACGAAGGGTTTGTCTGACCAGACTGATTCCGTCCCCCTTCCAATACCTATGGCCCCAGGACTGGTCGAAGTCCATAGTGACAGCAGCAGGGTAAAGGCAGCACTGCTGGGCTTTACTCTGCTCTGCTTTCTTAGGAGCAGGTTATGAGTCCCTGGCTGACCCTCATGAGGTTCCCAGCCTGTGTGAGAGGCTTGTAAGGCTGCTGTGCATTTGCACTGTGTGTGCCAACAGCTCTACAGTGTGTATCATGTGGTTCCTACACGGGATCCTGCTGTGGTTACGGTTTGCATCAGCCTCTGTGCATCTCTTCTCGTGCTGTGCTGTGGCTTTCAGGATTTTGGAGGCCTTGCACCACAGTTTTTTTTGCTGAGTTGTCAGCTTTGGATTCTCTGGAGCGCATGCACGCTTCCCAACAGCTTTGTAAACAGAGAACAAGGCCTTTGCAATGGCCATGGGGGTTACTGGTGCTGCAGATGAGGTCAGAATGATCTGATACACCTTCTTGCTGTAAAGTTTTAGATAAATCAAATTTCAGTTTGCAATCTACAATCCCAGAGTACATCTTGGTTGTAATCTTACTGTGCTGGGGAGAAATGAGGCCATGGAGTATTTTTGGACTATAAATAAATGGAATCCAGTGGAGAATGAATGCAGAACTTTGTGAGCTGCCAAGTTTTTGGGTCACCAGGTTGCATTGTGCTGTTCTTTACGAAATAACACTGAACTCCTTAGAGGGTGTGCTTGCTTCAGCAGCACCACCACCTCCTTCAAAAAACAAGGCAAATCCGCGTAATCTTGTCATGCTTGTGTTCTCCCCATGTCAGGCCATTTATTCTGTGGTTTCTCAGCTGACCTGTGTGACTTTGTAGGTGCTGAAGATGGCAGGTAGCTCGGCTCCTTGGATCGGCAGTGCTTACCTCTTCCTCCAGTCAACATGCAAGACTATCATTCTGCCAAATCTCTATGAAAGCGCCCAGAAGAAGCCCTGCGTGTTCAAGGCACTGAAGCTGGCATTAGCAGGTACCCATCCTCTCTGATATATTGGCAAACTGAAATATATTGGTATCTCTTCACATAGCAATGCCAAGCCTTTCTTTAATCCCTCCCTCAAGGGTAAGGAATTCTGGTGCTTACTCTGCAAACCCAAGACACAGCTAATGGATAGGATGACTGTAATTTCATGCAATCTAGTCCATCTCTTGGACTAATAATCCAACTTGAGTTGGATTTGCAGGCTGGGGCCGTTGCAGGACTTAAACTGACCACAGCCATCAGACTGCAGCAGCTGGCTGCCTGGCTCAGCATGCTGCTGACCTGCTCTATAGCCACCGTGTCCAACCTCCTTGTGACTGAGGGAAAAGAAGGAAAAGTACAAGCTCTGGAAGCAGGGATGGGTGGACTGGGAGGAGTGTAGCGATGCTGTCTGGATGTGAAGGGATGGGATCAGACACAGGTGGAATTAAACTTGGCAAGGGACGTGAAAAACAAGGGATTCTCCAGATACATTGAGTGGAAGGGATGGATGAAGGACTGTTTACCCCCTCTGATAAAGGAGAATGGAGAACTGGCCTCCTCAGACATGGAAAAGGCTGAGGTACTTAACAAGTTCTTCGCCTCAGCCGTCACTGCCAGTCAGGCTTCTTTCACCTCTTGTGTCACTGAACTTCTAGGTGGGCGTCAGCGGAGCAAAATCGCTCCAACTGTAGGAGCAGAGCAAGTCGGAGACTACCTCACAAGGCTGAATGTGTACAAGTTTGTGGCCAGACAATATGCATTCCAGGGTTCTGAAGGACCTGGCTGCTGTGGTTGCCAAGCTGCTCTCCATCATATATGAAAAGTCACAGCTGTCCAAAGTCCACGGTAACTGGAAAAAGGGAAACATTACTCCCATTTTTAAGAAAGGGAGAAAGGAAGACCTGGAGAACTACAAGGCAGTGAGCCTCATCTCTGTGCCTGGGAAGATGATAGAACAAATCCTCTTGGAAGACTTGTTAAGGCACGTGCTGGATGAGGTGATCCAAGACAGCCAGTGTGGCTTCCCTAAGTGCAGGTCGTGCCTGAAGAGTTTGGTGGCCTTCTATAGTGGAGTGACAACATCAGTGGACAAAGGAAGGGCAACTGATGTCACCTACCTGGACTTGTGCAAGGCTTTTGACATAGTCCCACACTGCATCCTTATCTCTAAATTGGAGAGAGATGGATTTGAAGGCTTGGCTGTTCTGTGGATAAGGAATTGCTTGGCTGGCCACAGCCAGAGGTTCTGGTCAACGGCTCTATGTGCTGGAGGCTGGTCGCAAGTGGTGTTCCCTAGTGGTCTGTCTTGGGTCTGGTGCTCTTCATCATCTTTATCAATGACATAGATAGTGGGACTGAGTGTACCCTCAGCAAGTTTGGAGATAACACCAAGCTGAGTGGGGCATCTGACATAACTGCACTCATTGCACTTTACAACTTCCTGAAGGGAGGTTGTGATGAAAAAGGGTCTGGCCTCTTCTCCCATGCAAATAGTAGGAGCTGAGGAAACGGCCAGAAGTTGTACCAGAGGAGGTTTAGGTTGAACCTTAGGAGAAACTTCTTCTCTCAGAGAGTGGTCAGGCACTGGAATGGCTGCACAGGGAGGTGGTGGCGTCGCCGTCTCTGGCAGTGCTCAAGAGGCGCCTGGATGAGGAGCTACGAGATGTGGTTTCGTAGCTTGTGGTACTAATAGCAAAGGGAGGGTGGTTGGACTGGATGATCTTGCAGGTCGTTTCCAACCTTGCAATTCTGTGATTCTATGTTTCTATGATAATGGAAGGAAGGGATGCCATCCAAAGGGACCTGGGCAGGCTCAAGAGGGCATTAGAGAACCTAAAAGGGTTCAGCAAGGCCAAGCGCAAGATGTTGCACTTGGCTGGGGCAATTGCAGGCATATATGTGCAGACTGAGAGAAGAACTCATTGAGAGCAGCCCTGAAGAGAAGGATGTGGAGGTCCTGGTAGATGAAAAGCAGGACATGAGCCAGCAGATCCCTTCCACACTAAGCCATTCTATGATCAGTACTGTGGGGTTTAGTGTCTGTGTTCATGCTCAGAAGCATCTGTTGTCTGCTGAGGCTGCCAAGTCAGAAAGGAAGGCCCTGTTACTCAGAAAGGCTGGCATCTCTCTTCAGACTATGACTCATCAGGCTTGCAGATGATCCTGCACTCCAGTGTATGCTCAAGGACAGGGCTGCCATCCAGAGAGACCTGGAGAAGGCATGGGCAAACAGGGATCCTATGAAGTTCAGTAGTAGCAAAGCAATCTGTCTTTGAGAAGGAGGAACCCAGTGGCAGAACAGGCTGGGGATGGACTGGCTGGAGAGCAGCTGTGTTGAAAAGGACCTGAGGGTCTTGGTACATAGCAAGCTAAAGGTGAAGTCTGGCAACCCAGAAATACAGTGTATCAAGGGAAATGATTATCTCCCTCTGCTTAGCACGCATTAGACCACATCTAGAATACTGCACCCAGTTTAGGGTCCTGCAGTACAAGAAAGATGTTGATAACGTGGAATGAGTTCAGCAGGGGGCCAACAAGATGCTTGGAAAGGAGATGCTGAGGAGCCAGGCCTGTTCACCCTGGAGAAGAGAAGGATTTGGGGAGCCCACCACCAGCCTGCCGGTACCTACAGGGAGGCTAGCAGGGAGAGAAGGATGCACTCAGATGGTGGTATGGGAAATGAGAGACAGCAGGCATAAATGGAAACTAAGTAGACATTGGATGACAGGTCAGACATTTTCCTCTGGGAACACAGTTGTATGTTCTCTGTCCTGGCATGGATAAAGCCCTCAGAAACTTGGTCTGACCTCAGAACTGACTGTTTTGCAAAGGAGGATGGGCTAGCGACTTCCTGGGCTTCCTTTCAATTTGAGCTGTCTCATGAATGATCCTATTTTATGAATGTTTACTTAAACACAGTCATGTAGGAGGATTGCAGTTGGTATGAAAAATGCTTGATTTCTGCTGCAGAAACATGATTTCCTTTTTTTGAAGGCTATTTTTTAAAAGAGTGATGGCCAACAGAAGCTATTTTCTGACTTTAACAGGCAGAATTACATTAGCCTCAGTTGTACTTAAGCCTATTTACATCAAAAAAAGGTGTTGAGATACAGATAGCCATAAAAGTATGTTTCTCTTCCTACCTTTGCACCAAGCTGACTTTAGACTCATAGTAATTTGAAGAATTTATCATATTTACCTAGAACAGCTATCACACAGTGCTCTTTACCTATCATACAACTGAGGTCATAGTGTTTAACTGAGTTTATGCAATTATCATGTATTTCTTCTGGCAGTCATCAGTTTAGCAAAGCTGGCTGAGTGCTGCTCCAGTGCAGGCCAGTTCCATATCTAAAGACGTGAAACAGCAGGAAGCCCAACAGAGTTGTCCAGTTAGGCTCAATTTCTGCCTGCTTTTTTTCACTGGAATGTGCATCTGCTCACACGTTTAGAGGAAAGCTCTCAGTAAGGCTAAATGCTACCATGCTCATTCGTACCTAAAAAGGACATGGAATCTGAAGCTGTCAGAAGTTTCAGAAAGAAGCTGCTTTTGAAGTGGCTGCCTTGTATGCCATTCAGAAAGGTTTCATGTCTGTACAGCTTTTCCCTACCCCAGCCCTCTTGCCCAGTTATGCAAGCTTTTGTTTAATTAGCACATACAAAACACAAAGCATGAAGGAAGTAATAAAAATAAAAGGGCGTTTCTGATCAGCAATCCTGAACAGAATTAAAATGCTTCTCCTAAGTACATAGTCCAAGTTATGCATCTAGACCAAACTAAAGCTTCTAATGCAACCAGCAGTCTGTAAACCCTGTAGTACCACTGTTAGCACAGATTTTCAAATGCTAGGTCATTTGTCCTCACTATTGCAGAACACGCAGGTCTGCTTTGCCTTAAGTATTCCTCTGGGCACGTTTAAATAATGCCATGGTTTAGAAATCATTGACACAACGGCAGTCTGAGCAGATTCATCCACACTGCTCTGTGCAGGCAGTGCAGCCAGCCTTCCACAGGCCAGTGCTGCAAGAGAGAGCATAGAAGACACGGTCAGTGTGCACAGCTAATCGAATTTAAGCTCTGCTGGGAGAAGGAAGGATTAATGCCTGATCTCCATCTGTTGTCCATGTCTCTCAGGCTCCATCCACACTGACTTCAGAAGGCACATCCTTGCCTTGTCCTTGCTGACATTTTACAGTGAATTCACTCTTTGTGCAAAGAAATTTAAAGGTGTCCACTCTGACAGCCAAAATTCTTGTGGGTGGGTCTGTCATGTAGCTGGGTCTGTCATTTGCCATTTGCGAGATGCACTGAAGGCATCAAGCCAGAAGCTACCTGTGGGCACAGGGCTGGGGAAGAAATGCTAGGTCTCCTTCCAGGACCTTTACCACTGCCTGAAAGTCCAGTGATGGGGACAGAAATCTGGCTCAGAACTGAACTGAACTGTGCATTTTTGTGTATAAAATGTGTATCTCTGTTGTGTACTGTTTTAATCTAACCATTTCTGCCCTAGAAGTGGAACCTTGAACTTAAAACCTCCCCCACTGAGCTGCTTTGGGAAGTTACCTGGGCTGTAGTACAGAACAGCTTCCTCTGGATGCCACACTGCAGGGATTCATGGTCACAGGGCAGCGAAACCTAATCCTTTCCTCTTGGTTTTATATACAGGCTTTTCATCCCAGAGGACTTTATCACAGAGAGAAGACGATTCAAAAGCTACTCCATTGCAGGCTTGGTGGTGGATGGGAGTGGGTCTGGGTTGTCTGTCTCGTGCCTGGATAGTGACTCTGCTCACTTCTCCCTGCCAGACTCCACCGGCAGCGTGAATGGTGTGGACATGCTCAAAGTGCACTGCAGCCACCCACACCTGATAGTCCAGCTCAAATTCTGCAAGCAGGAGAACTGCCGCCGCTTCCTGCAGAGTTACCGGGAAGGATTGCTCCAGAAGTCCCTCCAGAACCACCTCCAGCTCTCCTTGGCCATGACCACGGTGCCTCTAGAAATGGAGCTGAAGGCTGGCAATGAGCACCTGGACAACATGCTGAAGGATGAGGATCGCTGCCTGGAGTGCATATACAGAGAAAAGGTGAATGGGAGAGGGAGGGAAGCCAAGCAGTAACACAGGATGCAAAGCGGGTGCAAATTCTGCTCTGCTGCTGTGCGCTGGGCTGCCAACTTCTCCTTCCTTCAGCTCTCAACTGTAATATGGAGAACAGCTCTGCCCTCCCTCTCCCTCTCCCCAGAAAAGATCTGGGTACTTTTCTCAAGGACTATAGAGCTACCTTTCTCCCCTGCCTTGCACATCTCAACCCTAGCAATGGTAACATGAGCATGAGCAAAAACATCACACACTGCACCAACAGCTTGTGACAGAGTGGGGACACGCAGCATCTGCTGCCAGCAGGCTGCTGTTCTGACATCAATGCCTCTCTCAAGGATGATATCTGGTGTCCATCTGTATCCATCTCATCTCACACTTTGGCTCTGGCTAATCCTGCTAGCAAGAACAAGGGCCAGTACTGGGGCCCATCTTGTTTAATATCTGTATTGATGACCTAGGTTAAGGGATTGAGTTCACCCTCAGTAAGTTTGCAGATGACACCAAGCTGGGAGGTGGTGTGGATCTGCCTGAGGGTAGGGAGCAATCTAGATAAGCTGGATCGCTGGGCTGAGGTGAATGGGATGAGGTTTAACAAGGCCAAGTGCGGGGTCCTGCACTTTGGCCACAACAACCCCATGCAGCGCTGCAGGCCTGGGGATGAGTGGCTGGATGAGTGTGAAGAGGAAGGGACCTGGGGGTGTTGGTTGGTGCTTGGCTGAACACGAGCCAGCAGTGTGCCCAGGTGGCCAAGAGGGCCAATGGCATCCTGGCCTGCATTGGAAATGGTGCGGCCAGCAGGAACAGGGAGGTGAGCATCCCCTGTACTCAGCTCTGGTGAGGTCGCACCTCGAGTGCTGTGTTCAGTTTTGGGCCCCTCACTGCAAGAAAGACATTGAGGCCCTGGAGTGTGTGCAGAGAAGGGCAACGAAACTGGTGAGGAGTCTGGAGCACAGGGCTTATGAGGAGCGGCTGAGGGAGCTGGGAATGTTCAGAGTGGAGAAGAGGAGCTCAGGGGAGACCTCATTGCACTCTGCAACCTCCTGAAGGGAGGCTGTGATGAGGAGGGGTTTTGGCCTGTTCTCCCAGGCAACGAGCAGGACCCGAGGAAATGGCCACAAGTTGTACCAGAAGAGGTTTAGTTTGGACATGAGGAGAAACTTTTTCTCTCAAAGGGTGGTCAGGCACTGGAATGGCTGCCAGGGAGGTGGTGGCGTCGCCGTCCCTGGCAGTGCTCAAGAGGCACCTGGATGGGGAGCTGCGAGATCTGGTTTAGTGCTAGTGGTGGCAATGGTGATGGGAGGGCAGTCGGACTGGATGATCTTGTAAGTTCTTTCCAACCTTGTGATTCTATGATTCTGTGATTCTAACAGTGGGATCTTGTCATCTTACCACAAAACCAAAGCACTTGCTGTGATTAAGCTTATTGCCTTTTTCCTCTCCTTGTTTTTTTCCCACCTGGAACTACCAGTATCTGACAGCTTTGCTTCCCTCGCAGCAGTCCTTAGGATCAGGCAGTCTCTGCCTCCACTGGAAGATTAGGCACGAGAGCGTGTTCTGACAGGTTGCTTTTCTGCAAGTGCAGAGATGAAATGCAAACCATTCACCCGGGACCAAACATGTGATAACAGGCATCCTTTTAACTTCTGCTTGCTGCTCCCTCCCTCTGCTGAATTAGCTGACTGGACAAGAGAAATGGTTTATTGTCTGTTCCCCAGAATTGACTCAGCCTGACCTCTGCCTACCAGCGCAGCAGCCAGAAAGATCAGTGGCCGGCTGAGGGCAGTGCTGGGTGCCAACCTGCTGTATGCAAGCGTAAGCGCTAAACTGAGTCAGAGCACCATGGAGTTTGACTGCTCACACATGCTCTGCATTATTTCCTTATCCTCTTTCTCCTTACTTTCTCTTTTGATATCAGATTGGTTTTATCTCAGTAAGGCTTGAGAGGTTGCAGAAGCACTAGGAACATCACTTAAGTATAGGAGGGGAAGGCAGGGAGAAGGAGAGTAGCAGGAGCTGCCTGCTTTGCTGGCCATGAGCTGTTAGATCAGCTCACCCTATTTTGTGGGTCTGCCTCTCATGTGGAGTAAATCAGAGAAGCTCTGCTGCCTTAATTCTTGCAGTAGGCTTCTGAAAATAAATGTGGACTAGGAGCAATTCTGTGCAGCTTGTAAGTAGTCACTGATGCATGTGACAGACCGGGGGGGGGCACTGCCCATTTCAGATCACACTGCAGGTAGAAATGCGCAGACTTATGCCAGAACTCCATTAGACCATCTGTCCAATTCACAATACCAGCTATAGCAATCTCATTGCTTCGCTCTCAACACCGTGATCTTAAGCCACACTGAAAACCTGCCCTCCAGCTAAATACCTACAGCTTTGTGAGATGGTGAAACTGGCATAAATCATCAATGCTGTTTGCATTACAGCCTGACCGCCTGCGGGACGAGGAGATCACAGAGCTGGAGGAACGGCTCAAAAGCCTGATTCTTCACCAGAACATCAACAACAACATGCCTTCCAAGGACTGCATGTCACTGAACTCCCCTTCTCTACCTTCTCAAGGCAGCTCCCCTTCCCCACAAGTCACATTTCTTTTTCAGGGACAGCAGTTTGGTGAGTAATGAGAACTGAGCCAGAGAATCTCAAAGGCCAGAAGGGAGCATTAATGCCACCATGTGGTGGAGTGTACCTGGGGTAAACTAAGGATCTCCCAGCATCCCATGGAGAAGGAGTTGCAATAGTATTAAGATACTGTCACACTCCTTCAGATCAGGCCTCGGCTTATTTTTGTCCTGTGCTGACCTGCTTAGTCCAGGCACCCTGCGGTACAGTGTCTGTTACAGATGTCTGCTGCAGAAAGCTTTCAGGTGGTCCTGTGTAGCAGTTTTAGTTTGAGATCAGCCTGGTCCTTTCCAAGTGTGCCTAAGGTGTGTGAACAGTCCCCAGTGCTGAACAGCTGAGGAGAGAGCTCCTGTCTGCATTTCAGTACTTTAAGGATGTGTAGCCAGGGAGCAGGGGGCTTGGTCTGAGTTGCTTTTGAAAGGCGGAAACAAAGAGGATGTCTGTCAAAGAAAATTGAGCTCTGGCAAACCCCAGGAAAAATAGGAAAATAAAAACATGTTAGGTAGGGGCAAGCCCAGGTACCTTGATGTCAAGGAAGGATTTTGGAAGGGGAATGAGCCTGACAGAATCCCAGAAATGCCAGAGCAGACAGCTGGGAATGGGTAAGTGCCACCCAAGCCATCGGTGCTGCTCAGTTGATTTTCTCTTTCCAGCATTAGAGGATTGTGTCAGAGTGCACAAGCCCTGCCCGCAGCAAACCAGTCCCTTTAGCCTCACTGCTCTTGCGCTTCTGCTCCCAGCGCAGTGCTGGCCAGGTGTTAAGATACCAGCAGACAAGCAGAGCAGCAGCACAGCTCCTAACAATGCACTGTGAGTTCTGAACAGCCTCCCAGCTCCACAGAACACTGACCAAACCGTGCCTACATCACATCAGCCATGAAACCCTATGTTTAATCTGCCCTCTGTTCCTTTCAGACAACAGAACGCTCACACCAGATGACCACCAGAAATTTGCCAAGCTTGTGTCCAAGAAGTGGAAGCAAGTGGGTCGCTCCTTGCAGAAGAACTGCCGGGCCCTGCGAGATCCTGTCATTGATAACCTGGCCCACGAATATGACAGAGACGGACTTTATGAACAAGCCTATCAGATGCTTCTTCGATTTATCCAGTCGGAGGGGAAGAAGGCAACGATAGCACGACTGATTGCAGCCCTGGAAGAAAATGGTCTCACCAGCTTGTCTGAGGAGCTCTTGGGCCTCCATTCCAATGAGGATGACTCCTAGAGCCCAAAGGGTGGTGGCATTGCTGAGGGCTTTCTTGCTTTAGTTAGTGTATGAGACTGCTGCCAGCGTCTGGGAATGTAATGCCTTGAAAATCACTGCAGGTTTATGTGCTGAAGGGAGTGCCCTGGGCAGTTTCTGTGCTCCCAGAAGCCAACATGGGGCTCTGATGTTCCTTATTTCTTTCTGTTTCCAGAAGTTGATGTTACTTTCCTGTGAACCACTAAGACAGGCTGACTTCCTTCAGGACTGAAATGTCACAGAGAAGCAGCCAGGCAAGTTAATGAGCCCTGGGGAAGGTGGGAAGACGTGAAAAGCAAGGAAGGCATCTCAGAGAATTCCCCTGGGAAGCAAAGCCAGTGTTTCTCAGATGTGACCCAGGGGCCATTACCTGGAGAACTGCAGTATATTGTCTCATATTGACATGTATGCCTTCAGGCTTGAAACTATGTAAAGACAACGGAAAAGTCAAGTTTATAATGTTTTCTTTGTTCTTCAAATGAGGACCATCTGCAGCAAGTACACCTGTCCTGCTCTACCCCGGTGTAGTTCCTTCCCACATCTTACCATGTGCCACTGCCTTTACCAAAGGCAGTCATCATCTTCCACAGGGCACAAGATTGCTGCTGTAGAAGACTTCAGGCACTGAACAAACAGTGTGGATAAGCACAAATTCAGAGCTCTTTCAGGACTATGGTGTACTGACTGTATGTATTGACTGCCTCATGTCTAGCACTTCTCCCAGCCTGGAGGAGTTTGTGAAAGGAAAAACACAGTGCTGCAAGAATAATATACAGCCTTAGAGTCAGCAAATTGCCTATAGGTCACTGATTGAACCTGCTGCTGTATGGTGCATTGCAGCATCAAATACCAGCCAGACCCCGCCGAGCAAGCCTCTCCAACCAGCTGGCTGCCAGTGCCTTCGCTCAACCTGTCCTTGGCCTGCTGAGTTCACCAGGGATGTGTCAGGATCTGCACAGAGCCTTTCCAATGACAGCAGTGTTGTTGCTGTGTGACACTTGGGCATCAGATCCCATGCCTGGACCTACCTGCCTTGCTTTTGAGGGCAAAATATTGCTTACAAGAGAAAGTACCCAAAACTCAGGGCTGATTCCTGCTTTCAGTTCCAGTGGGATGGGCCTGCTGTCTCTTGGTGTGTTGATGCAGGCTGCGACAGAGCAGAGCTTATACCTTTACCTATACCAAAGCACAGAGCAACAAGTTTCTAGCACAGCACAGGTCCCATGAAGCACAACAACCAGTTTTGACATATTCCTTATTTTTTACTGATACTTTTTTACTTAGGTGTTAATTCACTTCCTTTTTGACCTTCCCATCCATGGGCAGGAACAGCTGGTGGTCTTGGAAGTTAAGTCAGACAGAGAAGAATGTTTTCTGTGTCCTGTCCTCTCCCTTCCAGCAGTACCAGCGCTCTCCCCAAAAGAAAATGAGTATCTCTGCCACGTTTCCTTTTGGGACCAGCACAGTGATGCTGGTCTTTGTTAGTTTGGGCTGCAGTGGGACTGTACTTGGGAGCATTTAGCTTTCCCTGGCTGGGGAACTCTGGCAGCAGCCCACCTGGCCAATGGTTCTAAAAAAAAAAGTCAGAAACTTGAAAGTTGCTGTAAGAGCAACAGTGTTTGCTCTTTATTTTGCAGCAAATGGCTTTTCAGAAAACACGACCTATGCACGGTGTGCTGCCTCATTGGTAGTGAATATTTCTAAGTTCTCAGCCTACCGGTATTCATTGCTCAGTGTTCATACCATTATAAGGCAGTGGCTTATTGGTGTATAAAAGCTTTTATATCATCTCTTAGCACTCAAAATGAGAAAAGCTCATTCTTTGGCATCGACTTTAAGTACAAAAACTCTCTTTGCTGTTATTATGGAGCACTGAGCATGAATGCTTTTTTCTTTTTTTTTTTTTTTTATAATGCAAACCTTGTGCGTTTTATTCCTCTGCTAGCAATTGGCCTGTGTGTCTCCTCTTACTCACAGATTCCCTCCCTAACGTGCCATTAAGTGCTGGAGCTCCTGGCTCCTTCTTTTCAGAAATCAGGTACCAGTAGTTGTATATTATGTGCAATGCACATTTGATTCTGGTCTCAAGCAGACTCCTGCCTGCTAAAAGAGTTGTTTTTTTTCTGTGTCATTTGGCACAAACACAGATAGAGGCAATTTTCACAGATGCCTTGTGAGGAAATAGACGAATTATAGGATGTGAGAACCCAGTGTCCTTTGCATTGAATTGACACGTGGTTAGGGCATGACTCCAGACTTACTTGGGCCTGTTTTATCCAGAAGATTTTACAGCTGTTGTGCACCAGCATGCCAGGACAAGGGGACTTGCAGCACACAGGACAGGAAGAAGCACTCGCAACAAAAAACATTAGCAGAGGTTTATGGAAGAAATCAGAGTCTTTACCTCTGATAGCAATGCAGTGAGTGAAACCAGAGGAAGAATTACAGGTTGGGGATACTTGCTGGAAAGCAGACACTCAGTGCTGGATGCTGGCTTTCTTCTTTTCCTGGGCAAAGCTGTTGCACACTGCCCCTACTCAGGTGCCAAGACATGCAGGTGAGCCCCTTAGTGCTCCTTACACTGATCAGCTGAATCTAGTGTGTGAGATGGGCTGAGAGCAAAGCTGCAGCTGGACTGGGCTGCATCCCTTGGCAGCTCTTCCCTATGTGTAGATACGCCTGAAAAAAATGCTGCTGGGGGAGGCCATCAAACATGCATCAAACCAGCAAGCGCTATTAAAAGCAAATGAAGATAGTTGTCAGTTCTGTGTAAAAAATGAAATGAGAGACAAAAAATAAACAGCATGAAACGAGGCCAAAACATGCGTCCAGGGCAGGATCCAAGAGGGCTTTTGTTGTGGTGCAGACCGTTTCTGTGGTTTTTAGCAGTGTTTCAGATTTGAAGGAGGCTCCTTTCAGTCTGCCAGAAGGAATAAAAACGCATCCAAAGGAGGATTTGAGCGAGTTGTTTTGGCACAGTGGAGCTACAGCTGGGCAGCGAGAGAGAGTTGAAGTCAAAGTGCGCAGACTTTCACATGAGGTTGCTCAGAAGGTAAACAGAGGGAGACACTCAGGTGTAAAATGGGAACAAAGGAAAGCATCAAACTTGCCCTGCAGGACGGAGCCATCCAAAGGCCGGCCTTGGGCCTCTTGGATGATGGTGAGGAATACACCATAGATTTTAACATGCTGAAAAAGACTGTGATCATCCCAGCTGATCAGTCGAAGCGGGGCAGGGAAGGTGCTTTCTGCCGGCTTTAGTTCTCACAAGCTGCAGCTGCCTATGGGCGAGCAGACGCAAAAAGGACAGGGCTTTGGTGTTAGTGATTGGAACCGCTGCAAAACCGTGAGCCAGATTGAAAAGAAATAATAAAATTCACTTCCAGTTTTTCACAGCAAGTCAAATTAAGAGCAAATGCCAATTGACCGCTTGCAGCAGCACTTTCCAGGGCTCCACACACTTGCAGAGGCAGATACGTGGATTATTTTTAATGCAGAATGGGAAGCTCCTGTCTGAGCACTGCGGGTTGCAGAGCTTCAGGTTGCAGAGCCCCCAGCTAAAATGGTTTCCTGAAGTTTCGCAGCAAGTCTCAGTACTGTATCTGTTTCACAACCTGGGGGAAACCGCAGCAGAAAATGTCAAGATCTGGACAACATTAAGATCAAGAGGTGTGTAGGGTGAGGGAAACCACTTGCTTGGGGAAGTTGTAGGTGCCTGGAGAGGAAGCTGCTCTGGCAAAAGGTCTTCTCCTCGTGTGACAAAATTGTGGGTTTTTTTCCCTTTTTGCTATCCGTTGAAAAATCTGCTTCAGGACTGAGGAGACATCCTCAGAGGGTCAGCTCTGCCTTTCAGACATACCTCAGAGCAGGAAACCAATGTGGCACACAAGGCACTGAGGGGCCCCAGACTCACTTGTTGAGTTTAGCTGAAACTTCACATGTAGCTACGAACCTCTGGCATTGCACGTCTGAATCCAAGGCAGTACTGGAATGGGGATGGAGAAGGTTTCTTCAGTCTGACCAACACAGCAGGGTGGGTGAGTGGGCGTGATGAGGTGCTCTGCTTCCCACAGCTGAGTCTGGCCACTTGGCTTTGGCACAGCAATGGATCCAATTTGTAAGGCCTGAAGTAAAAAAATTGCAGTAAAATGAAGTAATTTTTTTTTTCTTCTCTGGATTTGACTGAGTTTGAACTTTTAAAGCCAGTGAAGGAGTTTGACTAATTTAAATCAGTTGGAGATCTGTGGTCAAGTCCCTTAGTCATCAGTGGAAAAATCCCTTGCTGACCTTCTACTTCCAAATTTCCACACTATGCAGCATCAGATTGGGATCAGCATCTGCAGCTGTGGGCTGCAAAACCACGCATACTCAGGTCTGGGACATTCAGCCTATATGTATTGTCTTCTATAGGAGGAAAAAAAGAAAAGCACTTTGGTCTATTTTTCCATTCTCTTTTATAAATAAACATATACTTTTGACTAAAAGAGCCTGAGAGACTTTCTTTTTAAGCACTTCATACGGTGGTGAGAAGAAAAGGGTTCTGAAGTTCTGGCCTCACCAGCTGTCACAGCAGCATCCAGCTGAGGTTTCTGGATGCAGAATAGAGTCCTGCCCCAAGGCCGGTGCCCACCTGAAAGTGCAGGGCTGCCATTTCAAGTCAAAACCCAGCACAGCCAGCATGACTTCTTCGGTTTCCAGCGACTCACGGTTGAGCCTGTTCAGGTGGGGTCACCCCAAAGTGCCATCTGGCAGCTCCCCGTGTTCCCTCCAGTGCTGCTACATCTGTGAGGCTGCTCCAAGCCCACGGCACCACTCCTGCCCCCTGGGCCCCGCTCGTGGTCAGCGTTCTCAGGGGCAGCAGCCCACTGCGGGGGAGCTGCTGGGCTTGGACTTCCCGTCTTCTGCTCTGGGTTTGCACAGGAAGCCATGGGCTGACCTGACAGCTGCGCTCGGGGAAATTCCTTCAGCCATGAGCTGGAGCAGAGCAATATTTCACTCTGACACACTGAAACCTCAGGCAGTACTTTAAATCCCAAGATCGGCCCTTCTTCATTTATCACCACACTGTATTCCCAGCAGCACAGCATGGCTCCCCAGGGGTGTGATGGGCAGCAGGGTTCTGTCCTACAGCAGGCAGGCAGACACTGCATACACAGCGCCACTGAGCAAATTACCGACACAGCATTGCCGCGCAGAGTGACACAGCTCCCAGCAGAGGACGCCGCCTGTTCCTCACCTCCGGGACTGTCACCCAGGGGAGGGATGAAAGGTAGATAGCCTGGGGCTGCTGCTGTAGAGGAGAAAGAGGGAGGTGTCTTCAGCCAGACAGGGGTTTTTTGAAAACAACCAAATAGGTCAAAACCACAGCTTTATGACAAGCTTGGCATAAACAAAAAGCTGGCATACTATGGAGGTCCCACTGGGCACTCTCCAGTCTTGGGAAGACGAGTGGTCAGTGCGTCCAGTGCAGAAACAGAGAAACCAAGAGACAGAAACAGAAACTGCCATAAGTAGGTGGTGACAACCATTCAGCTCCTGTTAAAACCTTTTTGTGCTGAAGTAATTCAAAATAAGAGTTTTAAAATAAGAGGAAGAAGGCGGGGGTGTTAGTTTGGTGTTTAGGGAATTTTGGCATAGCTGGATTATTAGGAAAAAGTTCTGCTCTGAAATAGTGGCACAACTGCCCACGGAGGGGGGGAGTCACCGTCCCAGGAGGTGTCCCAGGGTGGGGATGTGGCACTGAGGGACGTGGGCAGTGGGTGATGTTGGTAGGAGGATGGCTGGACTCGATGACCCTAGCAGTCTTTCCCAACCTTAATGATTCCGTGATTCCATGATCCGTCTTCAGACTCTGCTCAGCTCTCCATCACCTCCCATCACTTCCCTGCTAGGATAAAGGAACAAACGCCAGGTTGAGTTTCCTTCTTGAAGGACTGAACCCAACCTCAGTTTCTGCAACCTTTGCAGAGGTAAATAATCATAATGGAATTAAAAACAAGACAAAACAAAACAAAATAAAATAAAAAGCTAAATTGGGAAAGAACAAATGCTGTTTAAAAAAAAAAAAAAAAAAGTTACAATTAAAAAATCTTTTCTTTTTCTTTTTTTCTCTTTTTTTTCCTGGCTGCTTCAGCCAGAAAAAGAGCAGAACCCAGGGGACCCCATCCTGTCCCCCGCTCTGTGCCGCAGGCCAGCTGCGCGCACGGCCGCTGGTCACGTGCCGGCATTGGGTCCGCAGCCAGCTGCTTCCCCGGTGCGGCCGCTCCTTCCACCCCACCGACCTCGGGCAGACGGGGCCCCATCGCGACGGACCCCCGCGGGCCGAGCCCCCCGGCACCACGCGGACACGCGGGGAGGGCGGGGGGGGCGCAGTGTGAGAGCGGTGCAGGGGAGAACCCCGCCTGGCTCGGCCAGAATTTCCTCGGCTTTGCTGAAAGGCTGAAGAATGTCTTCCGCTAACTACATCCAGATGTGCCTGCCTGGCAGCTCGCTGCCGGGACGGTACCGAGGGGACGCGGGATCCGCGCTATCGAATGGGATGTAAGTAGACATTGCGTGCGTTCCGTCGGGGCAGAGCCGTGCCCCGTGCGAGCGGTGGGAGTTCTCCCGTTTCCTCTTTGCCGCGCTCCCCTCTGCCAGCTCTTCCCTCTCCGCCGTGGCTCCTGAGACGTGTCTGCCTGCGGGACCCCGAACTTGCCTCGCAGCCTCCGGACGCGCGGCCCTGGTCCCGCGTGGGCTGTGCTTTGCTCTCCATCGGGCGCTCCTTGCGTGTCTCTGGTCGCTGTCACAGCACAAAGTTCGGGGCTTCTCTTAGAGAACGGCTGCCGGGGTTTCTCCGCGGCCACACAGCGCAACGCACAGAAAATTGCTTCTTTCCTGCGAGAGGATGGGAATCTCTCCCTGCGCTCTCATGGCTGTGCGCTGAGAGAAACGTGGGAAATTGGAAGAGAAAGAGCAGAATGAGGCAGGAAGTTGCTGAGCACGACTTGCAGGAACTTTCGGCAGCTCCGAGACGCTCGTGCCGTGCTGTCAGCCTGTTTGTGGAGCTGCCTCTCACAGCGGTAACCAGGCGTGACACGACAGCCGCACCAACACCGTGTGACTGCCATTTCCTCGTGCCCCCCGGGCCAGGCCAGGCTGCAGGAGGCTGTCATACAACGGGAGAGGCCAGATAGGAGCCGATGTAGCCCCACATTGCAGCACTGGGGCGAGCTGGGAGAGAAATAGGGGCTCCTGCCCCATGGCAGTGGGGATGCTGTCTGCTCATGGGCAGAGCCTCTGGCACCGGGTGGCCTCACACTGCCTTCACTTGGCTCCAGCTCCCAACCCCTGGGAGAGCTCTGCGGAGACATCCAGCTAATTAAACCTGCTTTCACTTTGTTTAGGGAGTTCAGAATGGAATGAGACTGGCTTTTTTTCTGGTTAGGCAGCACAGCGACTGTTTTTCTTGTTTTTTTGTAGAGCTTTGCGCTAAGCAATGTGCCAAAGGGCGTCTCTTTGTTTCAGCCTGCCCGTCTTCTGGGCAAGACACTCGGATCGCCCAGCACCACTGTTAATTCTAGAGCTGCAAACGGGACACTCCACAGCTGTCCTACAGCACACACACACACACACACGCAGAACTTGTTCAGCACCGAGGCTGCTAACAGCATTCACTTTCATGATTTCTTTTTTTTTTTTTTTTTCCTGCACCAAACCAAATAAAAGAAACAGGAACAAAAAAGAAGTAATGCCAGAACTAGAGCTTGTTACATGACAGCCAGACAATAAATAAAGAGGGCTTCTTTTCCTGGTCAGACACACAGAACTGTTCTTTTCCCTTTTAAAGGCTGCAAAACCAGCCCAAACCACTAAATGTCAGCAGTTTTGTGCATGCTTTCATGCACTGGGTGCTGAAGTTTTCCTGCAGCACCCAACAGAGCCAAACACCCATGGGACACAAAATGAAGTCTTGCATGAGACTTGCGCTGAGACCAATCTGCTGTGTTTCAAAGCAACAGGAGGTGCAAGGAGCCCAGGATGCTCCTGGCATCCCTATGGGCTGCCAGAGGCCAGCGTGGCTGTGAGCAGGAGGGGAAGGACTGCAGGAAAGGCAGAATCACCTGGAAGCAGCGCTGTGAATGGAAGCTCTGTTCCTCTGCCTGGCGTGGAGTGAGAGCCTGCTCCTAGAGCTGGGCCAAGGGGAAAGGCAGCGCGGGGGGAGAGGCTGAAAGAAGAGTAGAAGATCTAATAACCTGCTGTGTCAAGTGAGCTGCTGGTGAAATCCCCACAGCTGCCAAACAGCCCAGAAATTGGAGAAATGTCAAGCACCGGGAAGCAGATTTCTTCAGGGGGTCCCAGAGGTCTTCAGCACTTGCAGGACCTGATGTACAGGACGTGGTCACCAGGACACGTGGTTCACCAGCATAAGAGCTGGCCAGCATCACTTTGGCAGATGAGGCAGGGTTGAGAAACCAAGAAGCACTGCATCTTCTCACAGGATTTGTTCTGAGGTTCTCTGGGGGCTGGGATTCCACGTCAGAGCAGCAGCACTGGGCTGAGAGCAGTGGCACCACAGGCGGGGGGTGAGTGGTGCTGCGTGGCTTTCGCATGGGCAGATGTGGCACAGGAACGGTTCCATTGTCGCAGCAGGCAGAGCTGACAAGGAGATGGAGCAGAGGAGCACAGGGGGTATCACAGCTCTCCTTCTGCTGGAGGCCCACGTCAGTCCCAGCTGCAGGTTTGCTCACAGTGGACATTGTGCAGTTGCTGTTGGGTTCCTCAAACTGAACCGCTCCTGTGTGAGGATGTTCGCTGGTCTTCAGTTACACACAACAACCCCTGCTGCTGGCAGAGCCCAGCGCTGGGCGCCGTTCTCATAAAACTGGTTCAAGCAACACAAAGCAAAGCCAAGCAGCCCAAACCTCAAGTGCTGCCTCAAAACGCCCTCAACACCCCAGATTCTGCAGGTTCCTCTGAGGACCGCAGAAACTCAGAGAGCCCCCAGCACTTCCTTTAGCTCTTTGGAGCAGGTAGGGCATCTCCATCAGCAGCCCAGCCCCTCTCTTGCACAACCCAAACCTTCCAGCAGAGAGGGAGAAGACCTGGGTGGAAACGCCTTCTGGGCAGCGCGCTCTGGGGTTGACCACCTTTATGCTTGGCTGTTCTGGATCCCCTTCCTCCACGTAGCACATCTGCAGCTTGCTTTGCTATCACAGCTGCTTTTCCCGAGGTCGAGCAGGCTGAGTCACCACTCTTCCAGTGCAAAGCAGCGCGCCAGAATCACCACGCCATTGTGACTGGGATCCAGGAGCAGTATCCAAAGGCTTTTCCCCACGTGTGAGCAGAAACGCCAAGTAACGGAGATGTGGCAGCCGCTGCAAGAGAAGAACATTTCCAGGATCAGTCCAAAGCTTCACGTCATTCAAGTGAGAATGAAGGGCGAGC